CTGCAACCAAGAGTTCACATGCCACAACTAAGAAGCCTGCGTGCTGCAACTAAGGAGCCTGCATACTGCAACTAAGGAGCCAGCGAGCTGCAACTAAGGAGGCCGCCTGCTGCAACTAAGACCCGGCACAACCAAATAAATAAATATTAAAAAAAAAAAAAAAAAAAAAGCTAAGACCTGAAGGACTGGCCTGGTTGGGTGTGGAGTTAAGAAACTTTTCAAAGTAAGAGAAAAGCATGTGTGTAGGCCTAGGATTAGGAAAAACAGGCAGGGTCCATTCAAGGAACTGATAAAAGCTCAACATGGCTAGAGTAGGGAGGGAAGCAAAGAAAGCCAGAAAGCAAGCTGATGCCTGATAGGGAGACTTACTAAAGGGCATGTCTTCTACTTTGCCCACTGTAACTATAAAATTGCATACATCCCTCAGCCTTCTAGACCAGTGAACTCTTCCCCAATAAACTGATGATTTCAAAATACCTAAGTCTAGTCCAGAACTATCCTATGGGTGCCAGACCATTTATCTGACTACATGCCATACATTACTATCTGGACCCAGAAATCAAGGGCCATATCCTAGAGATGACAGAGTAAGAAGCTGGAAAAGAGGCTGGGTCCCTGATGACAGCAGAGCCACCATACCAGCCCTGAATTGTCTACCTCTGGACTTCTCTTACATGAGAAACAAACTAACAACATGTTCAAGCTAGCAACGGTATGGTACTCAAAGACAAACCTAATCTTAACTGACACAGGAGGCTTTGAAAGTATTGTAAGGTGGAGGGTTTGCAAAAGGTATTCTGAAGGAATAATTGTCAAGATTCAGTGATTGACTTCAGGACTTCCCTGGTGGTCCAGTGGTTAAGACTCCATGCTCCCAATGCAAGGAGCCTGGGTTCGATCCCTCGTCAGGGAACTAGATCCCACATGCATGCCACAACTAAGAGCCTGCATGCCGCAACTAAAGATCCCACATGCCACAACAAAGATCCCGAGTGCCACAACTAAGACCTGGCACAGTCAAATAAATAAATAAATAAATATTTTTTAAAAAAGATTCAGTGATTGACTCAATCTAAAAAAGAAAACTTATTATCTGTCATATGACATACAAAAAAATTGTTGTTAATTCTTCCAATACTCTTATTGGAGAGTTACAGCCACTTTTGGTGTCTGCATTTTTTAATTGAGATATAATTCACATGTAACATATTAATTTCAGGTGTACAACACAATGATTCAATATATGTATATACTGTATTGCAAAATGACTGCCACAATCAGTCTAGTTAACATCCAGCACCACACACAGTTTTTTTTTCTTGTGATGGGAACATTTAAGATCTACTCTTAGCAACTTTCAAACATATAATACAGTATTATTAACCACAGTCACCACGTTGCGCATTACATTCCAGGACTTATTTATTTTATAACTGGAAGTTTGCACCTTTTGACCACCTTCACCCATTTCACCCACCCCCGACCCCTCACCTGGTGTCTGCATTTTTAAAGAATGTAACAAAAACTAGAGAAGACATCAAAAAGTACTGACCAAGCTTTCTTAATTTAAAAAAAAAAAAAACAGCTTTCAGTAAATAAGAGCTATCTGTAAAGTTGTTTTCAGCTCTATTAGATTGCTTTGTCTACAAATAGACAAACATGCGTATAATTTAAAACTGCAAGCAGTTTTTAAGAAGTTCAAAGCATTAAGCTCAACTAAGAATCTTAGTAGGGAAAATAAGCTTAAAAATAGGCACAGATATATAACAATTCCCATTATGTTTACTGGAAGCCGTAAGCTAAAACACACCACCATCAGAGAGACCAGACCTTCATGCTCCAAGGCAGTCAAGGCCTTGAGAGCTAAGCTGGAAAGTGGAACCCCCTCAGGAAGCAGGATACCAACCACAGGACTTCCTGAAATCCACCTCTAAGATTCAGAGTCTTCTCCCCCATCCTGGGAGAGGAAGAGCAGTAACAGCCATCTTGCCCCTCTTCTTTGCAGGCCCACAGCACTCAACCTCGCCCAGCTGAGTCACATACGGAAAATTCTAGATGGGAATTCAAGCCCAACTCTCACAGTAGCTCATTCTTCCTGAAAATTTTTTCTCCCTTTGAGTCTTCCTGTTGAATTGGAGGTGCCTCCATCATCCACTGGGACACAGAGCCCCTGCCCTCTCACTCTGGACATGGGAACCGTCATTGCCAGAGTGTCCTGTGACTTCAAGTAGCAGTTGAGCATTATATACACTCTGATTACAAGTAAACAATACTTAAAAAACATGAATATGAAATAAATAAATAAATATGAATATGAAAAAGACCGAAACAAAATACAGAAAAACTTTACACGTTATTACACTGTTTTTATATTTAATCACTTTTAAAGGTCTCATTTTACCAAAGCCTATACTACAAATGTCACAGGTATTTCCCACGTATTTGTTTACAGTCACTAAAAGGAAAATGGAACAGTCCTCTCCAGCACTAACTATTCCCATTATCTACAAAGTGAAAGAGGACACACTGCATTTGCAGCAGCAAACAAAATCACTGATTTTCTTAAGTCTCAACAAAATATCCCAAAACATACTGTGATAGGCAGAATAACAATTCCCAAAGATGTCCACACCCTAATCTATGGAACCTGTGATTCGGTTATTTTACATAGCAAAAGGGACTTTGCAGATGTAATTAAGTTAAGGACCTTAAGTTGAGGGAAATTACCCTGAATTACCCAGGTGTGCCTGATCTAATCACATGGGTCCTTAAAAGTGGAGAACCTTTCCCAGCTGTGGTCAGATGGACTACAGAACAGCCAGAGAGATGCAATGCTGCTGGTTTTCAAGACGGAGGAAGGGGGTCACAAGCCAAGGAATGTGGCGGCCCCTAAAAGCTGGAAGAGGCAAGGAAACAGATTCTCCCCTGGAAACTTCCCAAAAGGAACACAGGCTTGACACACTGATTTTAGCCCAGTGAGACCCATTTCGGACTTCTAAAATACAGAACTTTTAAAGAATAAGTTTGTATTGTTTTAAGCCATTAAATTTGTGGTGATTTGTTGCAGTAGTCATAGAAAACTAATACACACACATTAAACAACTTCTAACAATATGTGAAATCATCTGGAGAGAAACATAATCAAATTGCCCAAATACTTAGAGCAGTATGAGATATAAGTTATTTGTGCATTTTGTGGTATATTTCACTTCTATTTTTCTCCTGCCCTCACAAAACTCCATCCATTAAAGAGCTAGCCAAAGTGACAATTCTTCAAGCATTCTGCAGAAGGATGAACCATATTAACCAAGAAAATGGAACAGTCAGGACAACAGGATTAACTGGAAAAATCAGGAAACAAACTGTATTTTTCAGGAAGTCAAACATCAAAATGTTTGCACTGCTTCTTCAGTATCAAATGGATACCACATTTTAAAAAATAAGTCCTTCTAGATATAAAGAGCTTATTATTAATTTTTTAGGTGTGACAATCATATTGTGGGTATATTAAAAAGAGAGTGACTCAATCTTCCAGAGACATATACTCAACTATTTACAAATGAAATGGAGTTGGGAATAGGAATTCAGGGCCATAGATGAAACTAAATTAGCCTGAGTTACTGATTGTTAGAGCTGGGTAATGGGTACGTGGGGGTATATTACATTATCCCGGGTTGAGCTTTTCCAAATTTAAAAGTTACAAAAACAAAGTCCTCGACCTACTTATAATAATATAGATTTCTTAATATATTTAATAGTTGAAACTCCTTCCTGTAACATTGACCCATCTCAATTTTCTGCCACTTAATCCACGTGCATCAATTCTTTCATTCCCACTCATTCTGCCCTGTTTACTAACCTAATGAGCTTCAGGAAGTCACCTAACAGCTAAAAGGTTGATTCTTCATCTGCAGAATGGGAATAGTTATACTTGCCCAGTCTGTCTCTGAGTTGCAGAGAAAATTATCTAAGATAAACAATACAAAGCAGGATAACCATTCAAGAAATCTACATTATTCATAACTTCCATGCTCAGCAGCAACCATTCACCTATTACTATAGATCCCCTTCCCTTCCACCTCCAGTTCCTCTCTCGAGCCCTCAATTCATCATCCCAAAGCCAGGGTCCATCTGAAGTGGTGCACTCCTCCCCACCGCCTCCACACACACACCGGTGTTTTCATATCTTTCAGCACCTTCTCTCTACACATCTCTCCCTCCAGCTTTCAAGGATCCTGCTCAATCTGCCCCCCTAGCGAGTCTATCCTGTGTACCCCTTTGCTGGCCCTATTACAATCATCCCATCCCTTCTATTTCAGTACTTTCATCCTATCAGCTTTATTAACTCACTACTGTTCACAAACACCCGATCTAACTTCCCACCCTCTCGCCTTTCAGTTAAAACACAATCGCTAGTTGCCAGGGAGTGGAGAATAAGGAGTGACTTCTAATGGGTATAGTTTTCTTTTTTGGGTGATAAAGATGTTCTTAAATTAGACAGTTGCACAACCCTTTGAAAATGCGTTTAAAAAACACTGAGTTTAAAAAAAGAACAGAAAACCACCGCGTTATACTTTAATTGTACTTTTAAAGGGTGAATTTTGTGGTATGTCAATTACATCTCAATAAAAATTTGTATGTCAAAAAAACAATCAATATTATTGCTCACCTTGCCCATCACACGCCCACTTGTCACATCAACCCCATCTTCCGAAGCATCGACTTGCTCTTTGGTATCCCCCCCGCCACGACCAACTCCCAACACCAGACTCGGACTGAGGCCCCTCTCACTCTCTTGATTAGCACACCCCCTCACTTCCCGGCTCTAAGTGCCACTGAATCCTGGAAGTGGGGGGCAGCTCTCGTGGCCCCGTCCCCCGCTGGCAGAAGGGACCCTTCTGCCCGGGGGAGGGGAGGGTGTCCCCAAACCCGCTCTGACAAGGGGCGGGGGCCCGCCCGGCTCCCAGGGCCGCGCTGCCAGGGGCGGCGCCACAGCCCACCTGTCTCAGCCGGCGGGGAGATCCGCTTCCAGCTCACGGACGGACGAACGGGTGGCAGAGGAGACAGAACAAGCCGCGGTCGCCGCCGCAGCCGGGTTGGCGCACACCGGCTCAGGCCTCCATGTTTCCACGTCTCTGAGGCTCCGGCTCCGGCTCCGACTCCGGCTCGGCTCCCGCCCGGACAGCGTCAGTACGGAGGCCCAGGGGCGGGGGGAGAAGAGGAAAGCTACGGAGAACGCCCGGGGTACCGAAAGCCCCGGCGCGCTCTAGCCGGCGGTCACGTGGCGCGCGGCGCGCGGACTTCTGGGAAATGAAGTGCTTCCGGCGTTCAGCGTTTCTCCACTCTCCTGCGCTTCCAGGGCAACCGCAAAGCCGCGTGGCAAAACTGAGAAGCTGCTGAACCTTCTTACCTTCGTGCTGCAGTCCTGGCTTACCCTACAGCACTTGTTCTGGTAACTTAACTTCATTAAGGCTCCTGTTCATTCCAGCACAATAATCACCCCAAAGTCAGGCAGTTCCTTGTAGGACTCTAAAGAATTGGGAAATAGGAAAATAAAGTTTGATGGAGGCAGAATAGCAGATCTAGAATTGCCTGCAATACTGTCAGAAAGGACAGGTCCAACAGGAAAGAGTGTCAATGTGGTGCAGTGGCAAAAGTATGGAATTTAAAGTCAAATGAGCTGAGGTTACCAGATTGACGTCCTTGGGTCCTTATTTCACCTCTCCAGCCAGTTTCCTCATCTAAAATACATATACGGGATCATGATGATACTAACCAAACAGGACTATTAACGACGTCAGTAATAATAACTCACATTATGGGTTGTTTTCTATGTGCTATTCACTGTTACTTTATTTCTTCAAATAACACTATGAGAGAGATATCACTGTTATTTCCTTAATATGAACAGTATGTGCCAATACACTCTGAAAAGTACCATAGAGGTCTTACATATACTTTTCCAACTTTTATTGCCAACAAGTTGCCTGAACTTGCAGAATAATTACAGGAAAATATACTAAAACACAAGATACCTGAGAAGCCTAGCTAAAAATGAGGTGATAAAAATGTTCTGAAATTAGATAGTTTATGGCTATGCAGCCATTGTAAACAATGCTATGAATATGTGTTCATGATATATTGAGAGGAAATGGTATGTACAGTATTACCCATTTTCAAAAATAAATTATATTTATAATACTTATGTATATATGGCCCAAGGGGAAAAAGGCTAAAGGAATATTAGCAATTATTATCTTTGGGAAATGAGGTCATGCATGTTTTTAAAATAAATTTATTTATTTATATTTGGCTGCATTGGGTCTTCGTTGCTGCACACAGGCTTCCTCTAGCTGTGGTGAGCGGAGCCACTCTTCGTTGCAATGCGCAGGCTTCTCATTTTGGTGGCTTCTCTTGTTGCAGAGCACAGGCTCCAGGCACACGGGCTTCAGTAGTTGCAGCACGCGGGCTCAGTAGTTGTGGCTCGCGGGCTCTAGAGCGCAGGCTCAGTAGCTGTGGCACACAGGCTTAGTTGCTCTGTGGCATGTGAGATCTTCCTGGACCAGGGCTCGAACCCTTGTCCCCTGCACTGGCAGGTGGATTCTTAACCACTGTGCCACTAGGGAAGTCCCCATGCATGATTAAAAATAGTTTTTTCCTACATGTTTTTTAATTTTTCTGCAATAAATATGAATTACATGTATAATTTTATTTTTAAATTACTATAGCGAAAAGAGAGTCAGGCACCAAATCAACCTCAAAGTACTTTTTAATTTTGCCTATACAAAAATCACACAGTCTACCTACCCCAAAGTGACCTAGCAAAAACTGTGAGCATCTCTTCAGAACTTTCTTGATAGACCAAGAAGCAACTTATTCTACCTTGAGGCAATCCTATTTGTGAAATTTAATATTCCCTACCTTTTGTATTTTTTGCATGGCTTGAAATAAAAAGTTTCACTAGAAACCAGTGTTCCTAGGCAAATATCATAATGTTGCTAAGAAAACATCATAAATCAGAAAATAATAATAGGAATGGTTTTAACAATATGTAATGCATTAGTTGAAGTAGCAGTCCTTTGAAAACTACTTATTGTACACGTAATGTGAAAAGTATTATCCTTGGTCAGCAACTTTCAATACTGCCTGCACAAGTATCATGACAACTTGGACTTGACTACTTCAGTGTCTGGTTATTGCAGAAACACTAACAAGAAGGCCATAAACACCCTCCCACTAAATGCAATGGGGTATCTTGGATTGGATCCTGGAACCACAAAAGGCAATAGTGGGAAAACTGATGAAAGCCAGATAAAGTCTGGACTTTAGTTAGATATTGTACCAATGTTAATTTCCTAGTTTTGACAATTGTGTATGGTTATATAAGATATTAACATTTAAGGAAACTAGGAGGAGGATATTCGGGAACTGTCTGTACCTTGCAACTCTTCTGTAAATTTAAAATTATTCCCTCTGGCAGGCCGAATAATGGCCACCCTGAAGATGTCCACATCCTAATCCCCCAAGACCTATGAATATATTAGTTTACATGGCAAAGGGGAATTAAGGTTGCAGATGGCATTAAGGTCACTAATCAGATGACCTTAAAATGGGGAGATTATCCCTAATTATCTGGGTGGGCCCGATGTAATCACAAAAGTAAAAAGTGAGAGGGAGGCAGAAAACATCAGTCATAAATATGGCTCTAGCAGAAGATCAAGTGATTCAATGTGAGAACCAGGCATTACTGGCTTTGGAAACAGATTATCTGCTAGAGCCTTCAGAAGGGAACACAGTCTTGCTGATACCCTCATTTTAGCTCAGTGAGACTGAGTCAGACTCTCACCCACAGGGCTATAAGACAATAAATTTGTGTTGTTTTAAGCCACTAAATATGTGGTAATTTTTTGTAGTAGTAATGGAAAACGAATACATTCGAAAATTAAAAAGTGTAGGGACCTCCCTAGTGGCTCAGTGGTTAAGAATCTGTCTGCCAATGCAGGGGATACGGGTTCGAGCCCTGGTCCAGGAAGATCCCACATGCCGCAGAGCAACTAAGCCCATGTGCCACAACTACTGAGCCTGTGCGCTAGAGCCCACGAGCTATAACTACTGAGCCCACACTCTGCAACTACTGAAGCACGTGCACTCTAGGGCCTGCATGCCACAACTACTGACCCTGCATGCTGCAACTACTGAAACCCGCGCGCATAGAGCCTGTGCTCCACAGTAAGAGAAGCCACCGCAATGAGAAGCCTGCGCACCGAAATGAAGAGTAGCCCCCACTCACAACTAGAGAAAGCCCATGCGCAGCAACGAAGACCCAATGCAGCCAAAAAAACAAAAAAAAGGTATAATTAAAAACAAAACTTCCAAATGGCTACCTGTCTTGCCAACACATTCCCAATCTGGGACTGTACAAATATCCATGCTACTTAGAAAGAAACTGTAAACCAGAAAATGCACAAAAAATTATACTTCACTTCCCAGCTCATTTTGGTTAGACTATTATAAAAACCAGCTGTATCTGGAAACATGTTGAGTTCCATAGGAAAGTCATTCAAGCAGTGAAGTGTCAAATGTGTCATTGGAAACAGTCTGGTATCTGAAATTGCAGTCCTGCGTAACCTCATCCTCCTCACTACTCAGTGACTTTCCAGCAAGGTACTTAAAACAAGGACTGGTGCTTCTGATTTAGGATGTCCATTTGGTTCATTCATTCACTTATTCCGCTAATATTTACTTAGCAATTTTGTGTGCACTGTGCTTCAGAGCTGGGCCTGACCTCAAGAAGCTGAAGGTCTAGAAGAGGAAACAGGCATTATACAATTAAAAACTGGGTTAAATTGCCATGAAGAACAAGAACAGTCAGCACAACCTGGTATCCAGCCCCAAGGAAACAGCTTTTCAAGAAATAAATGGTGAAAAATTAACCATTTTCTGGATGAGCAGGGCCAGTATTTTCAACATCTTAATAATAAAATTTATACCTGCAAAATTGAAATTTCCTTTAGGGTTAAAACCAAGAAACAAATAGAACTGAACTAAATCAACAAAAAATTATTCCAGAGGTGCTAAATGCCACCATGGCCCCTCAGTAATAAATGGTTCCCAATGCGATCAAATGGCCTTGGCTATGGAATAATGGAAATTTTACTAGGTTTACCCAGAGAATGAAATACACTGCAAGTCTCTGAATGAGATTATTGCTTCTGATTTTCTCTGAGGTTCTAAACATAATTCCCTCCCTCCATCTCCATAAATCAGACCATGTCCCCCATCTGCTTAAAGACTTCCAGTGGCTTCTCACTTCATTCAGTATTAAAGCCAATGGTATTAAAATGGCCTGCAAAGCCCTACAATATGCCTCAATCCCAAAGCCATCCCACCACTATAATCTCATCTCCACTTGTGGCTATTTCACTGTCAGACCTAATTGGAATGGCCTCCTTGCACGCTCCCAGCTCAGGGCCTTAGGTACCTACTGTTCCCTCTGCTTGGACCACTCTTTTCCCTATTTTTAGTAGTGAATATTTTATTGCGTGCCCTGTAAATGCCGCACATGGATCTAGGCACTGGCATGTTATAGATCAACTGTATTATTTATTGCTTTCAAGGAGCTTACATTCTGGTGGAAGAAGACAAATAAGTAAAACAAGTTATAATTAACTTAGACCACTTCTCCTTATCTCCTCCAAGACTCTGGTCAAATGTGATATTATCAACCCTTTCCTTGTTCGCCCTGCATAAAATAGCAACACCTCCCCACCCTCACCTCCTGTCCCCAGACTCCAGCACTCTCCATCCTTTCCCCTCCTTCATCTTCCTACAGGGCTTTTAATCACCCCTCCACACATTGTATAGTCATCTGTTTATTTGTCTCCTTGTTAGTGGAATGTGAATTCCCTAAAGAAGGGATTTTTTGTTTATTGGCATAGCCCAAGGCTCCCATAGGCACATAGTAAACATTTTTTGAATAAATAATAAACCATTTCACCAGGTATTATGGATTTAATTATTCTCCCCCATCAAAAAAAAAAATGCATATAGTGAAGTTCTAACTCCCAGTACCTTAGAATGTGACCTTATTTGGAGATACAGTCTTTATAGAGGCGATCAAATTAAAATGAAGTCGTTAGAATGGGTCCTAATCCAACATGACACGTGCCCTTATAAAAGAGGGAAATTTACAAACAGACATATACAGGGAGAATGCCATGTGAAGATGAGGGCAGACATCAGAGTTATGCATCTACAAGCCAAGGAACACGAAAGATTGCC